GAAAACTAGTTCTTACTAGTGTTGGCAGGTTATCATGAAGAGCTAATAAATGTCAACAAATCTCTAACCTTCTTTAACCATTATTAATATTAAATACAAAACACAAAAATGTCACAGTATGGCAGGTACAGGGAGCAAAGAGACTTGATGTCCCTGTTCTGGTCTCCGCTGAACATGAAGTTTTTACTTGAGAATGTTTTTCACACAGATTCTCAGTCTGTTCCACAAAGCAGATTCGTCCTGGTCATTGTTAGGGTTTCTTTTAGATGCTTCTGTCTCGACCCCCCTCGCCAGTCAGTCAGGTCTTCATCACTGCTAATGCGGACGGTGTGGGAGCAGGAATGTGGAGAATATTCTCGAGAATTTAGATCTGGGCGCACCTACTTTACACAACTGACCAACCTGAACAGAAAGTACACTTGCAAAGGTGTTTCCTACAGCTTTCAGACTTTCCGACCAGCACTTCTTTTGGAGTATACATTCACCTTTATCATGCACTCTGCGCATTCACCTAAAACACATGCACATGCCCGCATGCATGCACAGTTTCAGTCAGTTTCTCTCTCTCGCTCTCTTTTTGTGAAGTAAACACACAAAAACTGATGATAATTAAAATGCAATGGAAGTAAAAAAAAAAAATGGTGCTGTTTGATTAATCGTTGTAAAACTGTCATGTTTTCTGGTTTAGAAGTTTAAAATGACGTTAAATGAACATAAGTCATGAATGACCTGAAGTCAAATGACGCTGGGTTAAATGAAGATTGAAATAATATTAGAAAAGTGAAATAAAATTATGAGTAAGGTGAAGAAAAAAGAAGGTATAACCTGATATTAGCAAAGTAATAAAGTCTGGACATGGCTTCACTTAATCCTCCTGAGCTAGTAGCTCCACACTGACTGGAGAGTTCAATGCATCATAACGTTGATTCGTGACATTATAAATACATTTTATTTGCTAATCTCTACCCTGAAATCAGTTGATTGGATGTTGCTGTTGAGTTTGACCAAATATCCATACGATGTTTGTTCAAGTACAATGTCACATGTACTTGAAGTTGGAGGAAAAAAATAAACATTTCACTGAACTTGGGATAACTATATTCACTCAGTTTTTCATCACCTGCGACTTGAGTTTGAAATTTGCAACTTTAAAGATGAATTTGCTTATTTAGAAGTAAACCCAGCAAAGTGAGCAAGTGCTGTATACAGTGGATGTGGTCTTTATAAAGCCATTTAGGTTATGGTTACTTTGGATGGCTCCATTGAAAGTGTTCTTTGTAGGCCATATTGTTCCCTTGCGGCATCTCTCTTTTGCGAAAAGCCCGAAAAAAATCAGTTTCTTGTGGGTCAGCGAGACGGGGAGAATCCTGCTCTCCTGTCTTCCTCCTAAACTTGGTATCTGGCCAACTGAGACATTATTACACGACTTTTGCGGTGTTGAACAATGGCAGCGAAGCCCCCTTCTACCTTTAATCTGAATTTTGTGAAGCTGGTATCAATAACCCTGGGACAAAAATGAGAGTTACAATATCTGAATACGCAGTAGCCTTTCACATGTAAATTAAACTCTGCCCCCCTAGCCGAAACAAATTACAGCCAACTGCTGGTGGCTGGACATGAATGGGCTTCCTAATGTAGTCTGCATCTACAGTGGGTTGGGGAGCAGCTGGAGCAGAGAAACTGAGACGGGGGAGAATTTATGTGACAGTGCAGAGTGTGACAGTTTGTTTTTTTTTCATATTGAGTCTGCCACGCAGCCGTACTGTGACGAATGGGGCTTGGCTCCCCGAGCATCTGTCTCCGAGGACTCACTGAGGGGTAATTAGAGCTATGGGATGATAAGGAATATTCTCCAGGCCCACTGACTATTAATGATGGCAAAGGGGACGGCGCCTTTACACAGACCTCTGACATCTCACAATTCTGTTACAGGAGCGGGCGGGGTGGGATGGGGTGTTTGATGAAGCGTTAGATTTTTGTGTAAATTTGAATCAGCCTTCTGGGAGAGAGTCGTGGTTTGTGTGACCAGATTGAGGGCTGGTGAGAGCCTGGCTAAGATGCTGAGTAGACAATCTGTATGATACTAAATGTTTTTTGACTAAACCCCATTCCCAAAGCTGAGAAGAAGAAAACTTTGCTGGAGGGAATTTATGGCATATTTCAATTTAGGTTTTTATTTCATTCATTGGTTGCTAAGATCTCTTAACTCAGCCATCTTTCTAAAACCAGATTCAAGTGTATCACAGTTAATAAGTGTTCAGAAGTTTTAAACTACCTTCCAGGTGAGTCACCAAAACAAAGGCTGATGGTAAAATCATTCTCTAAACTGTCTTTCAAAAATATATTCGTTTACAATAGATAATACAATGGTTGGTTTGAACATTCAGAACACAAACACTTGTTGACTAGTAATTGTTAATTGGGGATATTTTCTGTGGTTAATCCAAACTAGTTCCCCCTGACTTATGGTAAATGCTTTAGTTGTGAGTTGTAAACACAGTTTGGTTTTTAGCGGCAATATGAGCATTCTATGGCTTTACTTCCGATTTAAAGATAGGGTTGGTTATCCTGGACTAGCTAGCAAGGGCAGGCTATGCTTTTGAAACTATGTAATAGATTCATCCCACCTCCTCAAATTGGACGTGTTGTCAAAGCTAGGCCCCCAAAACATGTGAATGTGCACTGCCTGTCAACTGCTAGAAGACGCCTTATCCTTGACGAGTTAACTTTAGGCTATCGTCTTAGCTTTGGCGATGTATTCCCCTCTGACGGTTGAACACCCTTGTACTGCAAGTACAACTTTTTTTACAAGACAACCATTTATTATTAGCTATCAGGATGTGAAAGGATTATTTGAAAGGATTTCAAATAAGATAAACAAGTGTTTTACAAACAACCCACTTACCCCATCTTTAAGAGGTTTCGATAATCAGGCTAGTTCTAACAAGTTGTCTGATCGTTTGACCCTTCATGTTTGTAGGCTTTGTGACTTTTGCTACATTCTCAGATTTCAATAATTATTCTGAGTACAACGTTCTCTGTTCGACTGGTTTAAATGAAAACATTGCAATGATTGTTTGATGGCAGCACCGGGGCAGTGCATGATAACGTTGAGAGGGATGATGATTCAGTGTCAGTCTTTACTAAACACTAGTTAGAGTAGCAGACATCCTGTTGTCGGATCTGGATTATGCTGCTGTTGTTTTCCACTGCTGTGTTGGCTCAGGGCCAGTGAGGGGGATCGGGCTCTTCAGGACGATCTATCACTGCACCACTTTTTTCCTCTCTCTATCTGGACACATGCAAAGTGTGTGTCTCTCTGCTCCCGCCCAGCGATCGCCATAATTCCTTCCCAAAATGACACAGGACCACCTTACTCTATCTACGACCTTCTTGCTGACTTCTATGGACTTCTACTAGACTGGTTCTGCAGTTATAACAGGATGATGTTTAAATTCCTGACAAATAAAGAAATTAAAATATCATCTTTCATCCACTCACCCAAAAGGGAAAAGAAAATTCAGAAAAAAAGAATACAATTGCCCAATGCACACACAGTCATGAGCATCACTGAGGGAAAGACGGGCCTCCATATTGTTGTGTGTTAGGCCAATGGCGGTTGACGTACTTATCCACTTGCCTTCTACGTGTTCTATTCATTTCGTGTTAAATGTGTTCACCCAATGATGCTCCGGAGTGTTTGGGAGCAATATGGAGATCGGGAGAGTAGGTTAGGGAATTTAACATGAGCGCAAAGGGAGGGCTAGGATCTGAGGGTAAGTCATCAGGGGCTCGAGTCGTCTGGAACAAGTTTCCCAGCAGCTGTATTGCAGCTTAGATGATCTCCCCTCCATCGAGCGACAGTGGATTCAAGATCATCTGTTAGATAGAGGTGCAATAAAACCTTTGGCAAACGTATCCCAGACTGTTTCAACTGATAACACCAGAGGAAACACAGGCACAGAACAAGACAAACACTGACAAACACAGCAAATACACAAAACGGCCACAATTCACAACACTGCACACATCAAAAGGCTCGGGCAAAGACGAGGGAGAACCACAACATGTACAGCACTCCACAGGAAATCCACACAAACACAGACTGAAGCACAGACACAACACAGACACTCAAATCATACTTTGTGGTGAAGCAATGCAAGGACGGGGAGAGAGCATGCACACAAACACACCGATAAGAATATAGACGTTGACCATCCCACTGCACGCGCACGCACACGCACACGCACACACAGTTTCACTTTCATTCACTCTCATTAACACTCACACACCTTGATTTAGTCCTAAACACGAACACAGTGGTACAAATGACACAAGCATATTGTATAAATCTGAAGAACCCACAGGAAAAATACTTGTACAACTACTACTACTATTGAATATTATCACTACTATGAACCTGTGTTGCATGAAATACTTGGTGAAGCAGGAAAACGCAGACGTACTTGAAACTCAAGTCTATGGAAATTACATCAAAACTATATTTTGCCCGTGGACTCTTGCCGTGTAATATGCTGCTTGTCAACATTAAGTTCAGAAAAAATCACAGACACCGATATAGATGTGAATATAGATACAGATACACACTCATGTCATATAGAAATGTGTGGAACGCAAAACAAAATTAAAGGAAACCACCAAATGAAGAAATTAAAATCAGCAAGTTAGTACGATACATCGAGCAGGGACAGGAACAAAGAAAAAGCTCCAGCCTGATCCCACGACACCTGATTGAATCAGCTCACAGCACAACAGCAACAATAGAAAGTCAAAGGAACCAGAACTACGATACCATAAGCAACACACAACGAAAACAAGAGAGATAAAGATAAAAAACAACAACAACAGCAGAGCAACAACAGTAACACAAACTGTAAGTGACAGGTACAGGATGGTCATAAATACAGTATATATATATATATACACATATAGATATATAGAAATAGGAAAAGCCAGATATACGTGTTGCAGATATTTACTTCATCATCATAGTGCCATACTCCTTGGCCATCCGGCATCTCAGAGCTCACACTACTGTCCTGATCGATTAGCCAGCGATGCACGGCGTGGGCCTAAAAGAACATACGACATAAAGACAGAGCCCGGTTAATCGCAACAGGGAGAGACAGAGGGATGGAGAGAGCACAGAGAGAGAGAGAGGAAGAGTGAAATGAGAGGTGGGGTAGAGGAGAGCAAGAAGACAGACAGGAAACAATGGCAAGGAAATGAGGAGGATTCAAAGAGGAACAGGAACATTATTTTAGAGAAATAGGTAGGAAACAAGGTGGAAGAGGGAAGGAGAGGAGCCACCCCACCTCACCTTGTCCCATCCCACCCTGCTTGTCCAACCCCTCCCTCCCTCCCTCCTTCCCACCCTCCCTGAGAAATAAACTCTCTCTCTGCAGGAAACAGGTCGGGTTAGGATGAGTGGCATGAGTGTGGGAGCAATGGTGGGGCACGAAACATCACGAGCATCACGCATACAGTGGTGATCACCGGGCGGCGCCACACTGATGGTGATGGAGGAGGAACTGTTGGAAATGTGGATGGTTTGTGGCTCACGGATGAATCAGCCGTGTCTCTGTGGAGAGCCGCGACCTACTGGATCGATTCCTTCATGACGCGTCGGTACGAGTAGCATCTGGACACAGTAGTGTACTTACCCACAACTGAGATGTGCAACCACACAGGCACAGTACAAAACACGACATAATCACATCGTTAAGTCAATAACACAGAAGAAAAACATACAGTGAGGCCACATCTGACCTCTGACAGAGAGACATTGATAAACAATGTATGTGCTTCTGTATTCAGAAGAGTTTTACTGCAAAGAAACTTAGCAATTTTCTTCATAACAGTGCGAAGATGGATGAAGATACAAAGGGCACGAAGAGCAGCAGGAATTGTTGGAACAATAAAAACAGCCAACAAAAGTCTGTCAGCGTCAGAAAATAACCAGATTAAACACATTTTTGCCCAGATCTGCACAACTGTCTTCTCCTCTCCGCGAATCACAGACAATAAAACTCGCAGACGTCACACAGAGAGACAGAGAGACAGAAACACAGACAGATCAAGTCTGCTTGGACTCCCTCGGCTGAAATTCAGATCAAACATATACACAGCAGCCAACTCTGGCCCCAGTCACCCAGAAACACACACTCACACATAAGTGTGCGTACATGTACACACATGTACACACACACACCCATCTGTTACTCTTTGACTGTTGTGTCAGCACCAAAAAACAACCAAACACAGCTCCTTTTTGTGACGCTCGCTGCCCCGCTGCGGAAGAAATACTTTGCACAGGGGTGAAAAAAAAAAAAAAAAATCGCAGCATCACAGGATTAATTACCCTGTCATGGCCGCGACTGCACTATTTACTATTACTTCACACCATCAATTTCAGCATTCGTGTTATATTTTTAAGACGCAGCGATGCGGGCTGTCAAACGTTCACACTGCAGAACAACATTTATTTCACACTGAAGGACCATTTAGCACATGAGGAGAGGAGGGAAGGAGAAAAGTGCAGATTGGCTTCTTTTACAAAGAACATGAGTAGAGAGTGTGAGGATATTACAAATATACTGCGTACCCAACCTTAGGGTCAGCTGATGAATTACGACATATAGTCCAACCACATATATTGGCTCCTTTAAATTTTGTCCTCATGTAAACCTAATAAAAGTGTTTAATCACACATAATCCTAAATCCTAACCTAAAAAGCATTTCACAGAGGTGAGGAACAGATCATGTGACATATTCTCTTAGGTTTTCCTCATTTTTCAACACATCATAAGGACAGAGATACAAGATCACACACAAAGAGGGAGAGGGGGCTTCTGGGTCAGGCGGTGCAACGCATTCGATGGTGAACACATTGCAGGGAAGTGGAGGACGACACACAGAAAGAGTAGGAGTCACCTCAAGGGTACAGTGAATCAGTCGGTGACAGCAGAGGCCAAAGCCTCTGTTAGGACGCCCGAAAATAGATAACACAAGCAGAAGGGGCGACTAAATGTAGAACCAGAAAGCACTGTAGGTATTTTATCCTTTTTTAAACTTTCTAAGCATAAATTTGCACTTTGCACGACCTTTATCTGTGAGAGGTATTTGTAGCAATACTGTCATGTGCATGTGGCCGTGTGTGTATGTGTGTGTGTGTGTGTGTGTGTGTATGATGCACAGCAGCGTCAATCCCAAAAGAGTTTGTGGTGAGTTACAGAGCGTGTCAGCTTAAAAGAATAATTGGATTAAGTAGCAGACGGCTAGTGATGACAGGGAGAGAGGGATGAAGAGTTGGGGGAGGTGGAGGGGGGGAGCAGGGGGAGGCAGAGGGGGGAGAGAGGTGCTGATAAGGGGTAACAGGCCATGTTGTGTGGAGCCTGTTGGAGCCTCTGGGCAGTGAACAGACGAGCCGAGGGAACTCAAACGGTTGTGATGTAGATTAGAGGGATAAAAGGATAACACTCGTACTCTCTGGACAACTAAGCGGCAGACTCTTGGCATTCGGTCACACTCTACATCAAACTCCAAGACAAGCACAAGACAACCAGTATGAGTCATGTACAGAAGAAAGAAAAAAGGACACCTCATTTTGTCTCTGCTTGCTTTATGGGCTTTTAAACCTTCGCGATGGCCTCCGGAGCATAGGGCCACTTTGGAGGCCACTATCTCGCCACATTTGCAGCTTATCCTGCACAGTGTCAGGTACAGAGGCAGGGCGGAGGATAGAAGTGAGGACAGGAGGTGAAAGAGAGAAGTCAAGGAATGTAGTAGGGGGTGTGAGAGAGAAGTGAGATTTCATGGTGTTTTTCATTTGTAGCAAGCATCATTGGTTCTATGTACAAGTTGTTCAGTTACAACTGTGAAATCCACGAAAATGCTGAAAAACGCAAAAGTGAAAAAAGGGAAGTGGTCCCTAGATCCAGATCGCAGATCGTTCCTTCCTTCTCCACCTCCATACCAATTTCATGGATATTCATTTTCTTTTCCTTGATCAGTCACAAAACGACAGTGTGTTACTCCCAGTGGCCTGAATTAATACTTAGAGGTTTTTTTTAAAATTTGATATTTAATGCTTATTGATCATCCATTTCAAAAATGGCCCATAGGTTGTTCTATTGACATTGTGATTATCATTATTATTATTTGTGGAATACTATATATAATTGGTTGAGTGACTAGGTTTCACCAAACTGAGAAGCGTTGTGCACTGAGCTTTCATCAGAGTAAGTGCTCCACAGGGAGAGAGCAATGGACCTGCACTGTCTCCATAACTCACACTCGCTCTGTGAGAAACAATAAGGATCCGATGCACAAAAGACTGCAGCATTAACAACCAAGCACCTCTCTCAATCAGTCCAGTTTATTTTAGTCCTGCACTGCATCCAAGTCTCTCTCCAGCTCCCTGTCCATAATCATCAAGTGCAGGACAGACATCAAGTAATCAAGCTCTGATGTCATGACTCAAACTAGGCCAATGCCTGGCTATTCTTTGTGAAAGGCTGACACAGTATGTAAACGTAAGTGGACCACTACTAAATTATTCAACTCCTGAGAGAGAGAAAAAAAATATGACAAGATAGCATCTCCACTCAGGTGGTGGGGCGGAGTGTGAGTGCATCATGAAATCACACCTGATTTATCTAGTCTGCAGTTCTGATTTCAACGTGATTCCACTGAACATGTCAGGAAAAAAGAGATGGACAATACATATTATTGTCATGTAAAAAATGTTGATAGCGATTACAGAGAAATTCCGCAAGACAGAAAAAATGCTATGAAAGGAAAATGTATTAAAAGGTATATAGTATAAACTACAATTCCCAGTATGTAGAAATAGCACATTTTAAGCTTCAAACCCAAAGGGAATTATGAGTATATAACAATTTATTAAATAACTGATGGGTGATTTTAGCCTCTGTAAAATGTATATCCCTACACTAAGAGCCAAAATGTTGATGTTAAGATATGGATAAGAAACCCATACTCCGCCATTCCTGGTATATACAGTATTTTATATTGTAACTCAATCCTGGCATGGAAAGATATTCAACTAAATAGTTTAGAAACACTATGGTGCATTATAAAAATAGACACTGCCCACCCCCCTAAAACAATGGTTGCCAGGTTTTACATGCAAGTGAGCAGGTGTAACTAAGTGCACATATAGACATGGAGAATAAAGAGAAAACAGAGTTGAGATGAGGAGATCACAGCCTGTTTAATAAAACATGGCAGAGAGCTGCCAGCTCAGATGGAGATGCCAGCTGGGATAAAAGAGAAGGATGGTGCAGCCACCTCCACCTATCACCTCTACAGCTTTCTTATCTCTCTATCTGTCTAACTCTCCATCTGGGTTCACAGTCACTCTGTATGAGCATGTGCACGCTCTTCATCCTTTACAAGAGCACCTTGCAAGAAACTCTGAAATACTTATTACCACTGTAAAAAATATATTATACAGTATATACTAAAGCGCCTACAGTGACTGTGTATGACATCACACTTTAATTCATCACTGCCCCATAGTTACAGCAACTTTAAACCTCTTATAACATAAGGTGCGCTAATTTCACAACGGCAGCAAGTCACAGTTATCAACAAGCATGTGAACATAATGTAGCATTTGGCAGCTAAAGAGACAGATATTTCCACTCATGAGTTAAAGAGACCAAAAACAGAGCTAAAAGGAGAATTAATATTGGACATTTGTAAGGTGGACATGGACATGAACAACTTGATAATAATGATGTTGCTGCAGATCTGCTGGGATGTATGATTAAGGACACTTGCTATCACATTCATCATATGAGCTTTAAAGGTCCAGTGTGTAAGATTTAGGTGAAAGGGAACTATTGGCAGAGATTTAATGTAGAATAATCTTCATAATGTTTTCACTAGTTCGTTTCATCTAAATTGTATGAATTGTAGTTTTCTTTACCCCAGAAAAGACCCTTTATATTTAAATACTTTATATTTACATCTAGGGGACCCTCTCTACAGAGGCCGCCATGTTTTTTTACATTAGTCCAGACTGGACAAACTAAAACCTTTTGA